CCAGACTACGACATGTCGCCGACACGCCAAATCGACCCCGTCTGGCGGTAAATCACCACTCCACATCGACGGAAGGGTTCCGGCGTTACTGCCGACGCCAGCTGCCCAACGCCATCCGCCGCGAGATCGAAGAGGAAATTGATCGCAAGAGCCTCGACTTCGAGGGCCACATGCGTAGCAAGATCATCGACATTGTCGAGGGCGTCCAGGTCAGGATGTACATGAACTACAGAGCCATCCAGTCCCCCGAGGAGGTTTCGACCATGGGCGACCCCAACATGCCAGCCCAGACCCAGCCGCAGTACCAGCCCGGCTTCTTCTCGACAGTGCCTCCCGACGCCGTTGACGAGTACGAGAGCTTGACGCAGGCGCTTCTGCCCGACCTCGAGGGGGCCTGCGAAGGCTGGGACCCGACGTCTTTTGCCGTCGGCGATTCCCAGCCCGCGAACTGCTGCGACCAGGGCCACTTTCTTTGCGACTCGGCGTACTGCTCCAATCCGTCCTTATCTGTTGATTCCGCTGCCGACCGATATCAGGGCTACGGCTTCTACGAGTGAGCAGGCTCGGAGGCGCGGCGGCCATTTCTTGTACCTCGGGTTTTTGATATCCTTTTCTTGGGTCTCTTTCGCGTGCTGCCCCCTCGATTCCTTGTTCGTGACAAGGGCCGCGTGTATTTTCTTTTCCTTCCGTCTTGCTGCTTTTTCCTTTCCGCCAGCCTCGCAGTTCGGCACAGAATGATCACGGGCGAGAAGGAATCCCCTTATTTCGGGGATATGACGAATGAATCATGATGTATGAAGTAGTGTCGGCTATGTAGTTGCTCCTGTTCCTACTCATCTCGACAGAAAGAGAAGATATCACATCGCGTACAACCAAGACTCCGTCGCGCCCCAAGATAATCCGTAATAGCCAATCCGTGCAGTCCTAGAGAAGGTAGAGAAGGGTATCATGAACAAGGCCATACGTGAACAAAGCCGAAAATGTGGAAAGAACAACAACATCAAAAAGCAGAGAGAGAGTGCGTGTGTGTGACACACACACACACACAGCCTACACGCTCTCGCGCGGGCGTACGGGCTGGGCGGTAATATCAGTGCTCAAGACGCTGACGCCGTCGTCGTCGGCCGTCTCGCGCTCGCTCGTCTGGCCCGTCTCCTTGTCGAACACGAGGCCGGCGCCGCTGAACTTGCTGTCGCGGAAGTGGGCCTCGTCGGCCGTGACAGGGCGCCCGTCGCGCAGCTCCCAGCTGCCGACGCGCTCGTGGCGCGCGCCGCCGCGCGAGACGACAACGTCGGCGTCCTCGGCGCGCTTCTCGGCGCCGCGGAAAGGAGCCCTTGCCGGGGCGGTGGAGGCGGA